ATAGATTTTCATGATTCTTCATGACTCTGTTCTCTCTGCTTTAATAACCAAAGGCTAACACCAAATGAACTCGTTGATAGAGAACAACAAGCAATTTTGTCTGATTCTTATTATTCTTGCTGAAACTGCAATTATGTTACTCTGACTGACAGATTCTTAAAAGAGATTCAGTGAAAATATCCTTGATCAAATTCACTAAGGAACAGAATGTTTCAAGTGGGCATGTCTGGCTAGAATCACCCTGAACAGCTCAGTAACAGCACATCAAAAGATTGCCGAATTCTTATTTCCAATCAGAAAAATAAAGCCAGTCTGAAATCTGGAAGCATTTTGAGGGCAGATGGTATTAGCATAGTAGTAAACACATTTTTGGCTGCTACTTTTCCCCCCTTCACAGTAGTTATGTTTAATGTGCTGAGAGAAAGCTGTTTGCTTGCAGAATCTTATTATAGAGCAAAATATACTTGTTCCAGAGAAAAGAAATTAAATTGGTTCCAAGTCAAAGGAAATTAACAGGTGTCACTTCACCAATCCAGGACTAAAATGGGTTATTATAAACAGGGCTAATACAAATTTTTCTGGCTCTTGCTCCACCTATTATGCAAGACTGCATGCCCCTGTAAGTTCTTCCTGATTATTTCCAGAGACTTCAGCGGGTGGTTCACATGTGCTCACACACGAGTGCTGTTGGCTGCCACAGAGTGCCTGCCATTCCCTTGCTCTATAGCACAAGCTCCTCTCTGTTGCTATTTACTACTAAGGACTGCATAGCTTAACAAACTGCAAATAAATCTTAATCAGCACTGCTGCTTTAGCCAGGCTCTGTGACACTTCAATGGAAGGATATTACATTGCTGGTTCCATGGATGCGCTGAGGTCTGCAAGATGGCACAGGTAGAGGGAGAATCTCTGTGTCCTGGTCAATGTTACACACTTAGGTTAATTGTTAAAAGAATTATGGAATTTTTATCCACAGCTCTTTCTCCTCCTAGGACCCAGACTCCAAGCTGTGGAGAAGTAAGAGGGTAGTATGTGGGTATGATGGCAACAAGAAGGTGCCTATCAGATCGGACTGTACCATACTTGAGATGGTCCTCAGCTGCTGTTCTCTGAAATCATTAACACATTTATACAGAGTCCAGGCTTTCCATGGGATGCTCCCATGGGATTCATCCTTGGGAGATATGGGACACCTCTGACAGGCAACTTTGACTTGAGGTTTCCTAACAGACTTGTCAAACTTTCCTTAGAACTGAATCTCAGTCTAAGATGCTTCCTCACAGCCTTTCTTTTCTTCCCCTCTTTCTTTTGCTGTTTGATGACTCTCTCTGTTCTCTGCTCCACTCCCCATATTTTTTTCTCATAGCCATTTTCCCTAATACATTTTCCTTTTGCACATTTAGTTCCATCATGGCATCTGCTTTTCATAGGGCCTGAACAAATACAGTGAATGAGTATTATCTGCAATAGAATGTCTGTCTATTTATTCTCCCTGTTGCTGAACCACATGTATCTTCTTGGTCATTCCCCTTCAGAGTTTTATCTTCCAGATGGCTTCTGGGTCATTTTATGAATAGATTTGACCTCAACTCCCCCCATATTTTCTGGGCTTGCTCAGATATGCCTGGATCTCAGTAGGAGATGTGATGTGATGGAGGCTCAAGCTGAGCCCCTTGCTATACATTCCAGAGCATCTATTATGACTCTTCCCTGGTTCGATGCACAGCTAGAGAAACAAAAGAAATACAATAAATGATTCCTGACTTTTAAATTAAAATCCAATTAGGGAGATAATAGTCACACATGTGCCACAAGTAATTAAGAATACAGATAATAATTGTTAACCATTAATTTCTCAAGGACATGGAGAGAACTTCAAGAAATAGGGTTCTCTGTTTCTCTGAGCATGTAGCCATGTGTTTAGGATAATGAAAGAGAACAGCAGAAAACTATTTTTTCCTTTCTTTCTGAGCAGCTTCATGAACAGCTAGATGTGAAAGATGTGAAGGTGAAAAAGGCACTGTGATCATCATACTTGTTACTGTGATGTGCTAAGAGATTATCGCCTTTCATGAAGGCCTTGCTGAATTCTCTCATTGTGTAACATACTCGTAGAATTCATGGCTGACATGAGGTCTTCACTTTTTGCTTCCCAAAGTAAAAAGGTAGATGGAAATGGGGAATAAATTTAAAATAATAGTTTAGCTCTCAATCAGGCAGAAGAGCTCAGCATTAATTCCTGAAAGGTATAATATTTTATACCTAAGAATATATATGGTGGTGATAGAGGTGGGGGAAGGTAAATGCCAATTAGATCTTCAATGCTGATATCAATAATGATATCGTTTTTTTGACATTTTTGGCTCTTGGCTAAATTCTAGATTAATAGGCATAGAAGTAATGTCAATGATTATTTAGCATGTCCTCTTGCTGATAGGTAGGATAGAACCATGAAAGAAAGTTGATATGTAATGAGCACTGTTAAGTCATGGAAATTGCTCAGAGAAAGGAAAGTATCAGCACAGTTAAGTGAGGTTAATTGAAAGGGATGAATTAGCTTTGGCACTGAGGTTTGAAATCTTGTTATTTTGAGTTTCTTAAATGAGAGATAATAATGTTGATTTTTAAAAATGGACTGGGAGATCCTCGGAGTTAAACTGTCCCTTGGGCCTTTGAACAGTTGTCAGGTGACTTTGGTGGCTTGCATATTTTTCTAAAGAGGGTTAGGTCAAGCTAATGACAAACTAAATACCAAGTGTAATCCCACTCTCTCATGACATCACTGGATAAACTATTAATATGCAGAAGCTTCTGAAATCTTTATCTGGGAATTTGTCAATGTTTTGGGCACAATAGTCCCTAACATCTATAATGTTAGATAAACTTAAATGGGACAATCAAATAGACAAATCAAACTGACTCATGAATAAGCAGTAGGATTTTTCCTCCAAGTTACATTGAAATTGACCAATTCAACTAAATTGACAAATTGACGAGTTGTTTTGTGATATATTAATATTTCGTCATTGTAGTTAATATTTTAAATATTGTAGAGCTAATTCCTATTTTAACATGTACAATATAAATGATTGTCCCATAAACTCAATACCAACACATGGAATAGTATGAATATTTTGATTCTATATGATTAAGAAAAATTTTTTTTTCAAGTATCAGATACCTTTACCTAAAATATCTTGAGAATTTGAGATTGTATCTATGCAGCCTCAAACATTAATAAAAAGTAATATAAAGTTTCTTTCCCCTGTGGGTGGTACAAGTAAAAGTAATTTAAATTTTCTTTATACTTTCATATTTTCAAATTTTTTATAATAAGGATAACTTTTTAATTGCACAAAAAATAATTTTGAGTGGTTAAAAAAGGGACAGGTGGGGTTTGGTGACTAGGAAAACATTCCTAGCATTTGAAACAATCTGGCAAGAGCTTAGAGGCAAAAGACAGAAATCTGACTGCATTCAAGGAGTTTGCCAGATGGCAACAAATAACTGCTAGTGTTCGATTGCGTTATAATTATTGTATACTATTTGTCACTTCAGCAAGCTATCTTTTTACAAGGCATGTGGTGACAGAATGTTGTTTTAAGATTACCTATCATTCGGCTTATGTTGAACTGAAGAAATGGAATGTAAAGTCTTTCTTTCAGTAATGTCTCTGGGGTATCAGGAAGAATGGGAAAAGGTTTTACTATGAACACAGCTAAATAGAGATTTTTTTTTTCTTTATGCCTTCTGGGAATGCATTATTTTCACTGACCCTAATTGGGAATTAATTTTTTAATTATTATTAGAAAAAATTTTTTTTAAATGCCTACATCACCTAGTATTCCTAGATGATCTCCCATCCAAGTACTAACCAGGCCCTACCTGCTTAGCTTCCAAGATCAGACGAATTTGAGCACGTTCAGACTGGTATGGCTGTAGACTTAATTGGGAATTTAGAGGGAATATTTGCTCTATTATCTATAAAGATAATAAAGATTATCTATAAAGGATTTGCTGAGCAAATGCAATTATGGGGGTCATGTTTGAAGGGCTTAACTTCTTGATGTGCTTTCAAGTCTAGTTAAACACTAATGAAGCTTCTTTTACCTCCAAACATCTGGAATGTGCATTACGGATTCATCTTGACAGTCTAGTTTTAGTCAGTGTTTATATGTGAAAATTATACAATTCTGTCTTTCAGATATATGTTCCATAACTCTTGTTTTTCACTAGTTTTGATCAGTTCTTCTTTTACCTTCAATCTATCCAAATGACTTTGAGTTTTGCTGTATGAGTTTACTGCTGGATTAGTTTACTGACAGAGATATATAAACCATGGCTTCCACAGCTGTTTTAGATGAAACTGTATATTAATGTGTAAACTTGCAACATACGGCATAGCTGGAAAGGTATGCAGAGCAGGTGACTGAGGGGATAACTTTCACTGCTTGGACTAAAGTCAATTTTGAAGGAGCTAAAGATGGCCATTGAATTCTGGTGTGTGTGTGTGAGACAGAGAGAGAGCGAGAGAGAGAGAGAGAGAGAGAGAGAGAGAGAGATATTTGGGGTGTGTGTGTGTGCAAGACAGAGAACTCTTCATATTTCAAATAGCTATAGCTATGAGTAGTAAGATGAACTCACATTTTATATCCTCACATGCTGAGTAAGGGGAGCAGCCAAGTGCAGCACTGATTTGTTAATATTAGTATATCGTTCTTGGTTTATGATGTTTTAAACACATGTTAGAGGTATTCATGAAGATATAAAAGATAAATTTAAAACCTGCATCAATTGTAACAAAAGTCAACTGGAAAGAAAAGATTTTAAGTACCTGGGGTGTTAATACAAATTGGTAGCCAAAGGAACAGAGTCTTAGTCAACATATTTCCATGTCCCTCTAAACACAAATAGACTCAAACCTTTGGAGGTTGTTCCTCTGAGATGTTTCATCAGTGACATCACAGTGATTGCCACCTCTCTGGGACTACTTTAGGCCCTGTCCAGTACCTAGGAGTCCAGAAAGCTCTGAAGACAAGCAGGAGTTGGAGCCTAAGTTGGAGAGAGAGGGAGGAGAAGCCTACCACAGCCAGGTGTGTTCTTGACCCTCTTAGGGAACAGTAGGATTTTTATGCTTATCATACAGAGTGTGTGTGTGTGTGTGTGCATGTGTGTGTGTGTGTGTGTACAAGTTGCAAATGGGAAAGGCAGAAGAGTGTTTACATTTTTTAATAAAATAGACAATGCTTACTGTATGCAGTATTTAAGATATAAGATGAATAATATTGATTCTTGTTGTCTTTTTTTTCCTCATGGATGCATTTTCTCTTTTTCTCTTAATTTTTTTTTTTTTTTAATATCGTGGAGGAAAGTCTGTCTTGCATCTTTTCAAAGTCTCCATTCAAAGAAAGTCAATGCCAATTTATTCAGAGCTTTTTTTTGGTTTTTATTTCATCTATATGGGAATCACTTTAAATCATATAGTGTGACCTTGACTCCAGGGGATTTAAAATGGAGCTAAAATTGTCTTTGTGGGTTAACACCAGAAAAAAGAAGGTTTCTGATTTGAATTTCTGCCTAACTTTGGTATAAATGTGTGTGAAAGTCATGTCCACCCTTTACAGTCAGCATATATCTTAATTAAATTGGATTCATTAGAAATTCTCACCTTAACTCTTTGTGTTTATTCATTTAAAAATATATAAAAACAAATATTTAAGTTCACCATCAAAGCGCAAGAAATAATAAGAGGTAAATCACAGGATATAAAGAAGTGTGATTAGTGGCCTTTCAATTCAGAGACTACTGACAAGAATGTGAAGAGGGCATAAAACATACAGTTTGACAATAATTGTAAGGCAATGCCTTTATAAACATCACCCAGGTCAAAAAACAGATCATTGCCAGCACCCAGAAGTCCGTTTCTGGTCGCTTCCCTCTTCTGCTCCATTGTAGGTAATCACTATCTTGATCATTGAGATAGTCTTGTCTATGCTTCTCTTTATAACTTTACTGTCTATGTCTTTATTCCTAAATGATATAATTAAGTTCCCTGTATTTGGCTTTGTATAAATGGAATCCTATCTTATGTTTCTTCTGTAAATTCTTCTTTTGTCCAACAATTATATTTATGGATCCACCCATCTTGTTGAATATTGTTATAATTCATATATTATCTTAGCTCTATAGTATTCAAGTATACAAATATAACACAATTCGTCATCCAGCTTGGGGATATTGTAACAATGTTGTTGTGAACATTCTTATGTTAGCATCCTGGTACATATGTGCTTGAGTTTCTTATAGTAGAAGTAAAATTGCTGGATAATAAGGAATGAGCATTATTAACCTTAATAAAAAATGTCAAAAAAAATTTTTGTCAAAGTAGTTGAGAAGTTCCACTAACTTTGTTTAACCAGGGCAGTTAACTACAGTAGTAACTCATTCTTGTAATCACTCCTATGGAGTAATCACAATTCCAGAAACTAGTTCCAGACTGCCAGTTCTAGTTTTGCCTCTTACATGCTACATGTCATTACACGAACAATTTATTAATCCCTCTCTAAAAGCCGGTTTCTCAGCTGTAATCTTGGGAGAGACAAAAAAATCATAATAATACTTGCCTCAGTTGTTGTGAAGGTCAGAGTTGTGAAGGTCTCATGACCAGAGCTGTGGACGGCTTTCAATAACATTTTCCCAATGTTTCTGTTGGGTCACTCTCCATGATTCTCTTTATCTAAAAGCTTAATCTAATGCAGATTTGTGGGACAGTTATCTTGCCTTCCCTGAACTGGGTTGTTTTGATCATTATAAAATGTCTCATATTTTTTGTATATCTCTGTATTTCTTTAGAACTTACCCAAATAAGTTGGCATTTGGACCAGGATTTGATTTTATTAATAAATTCATAAGGAAGAGTCTGCCTTTGATTCTCATTCCTTTGCCTCCAGGCTCTCTGCCTGGATTCATCACCTCCCTGTTCCCCTCTGCTTTATATACATTCTTACAGATTCTCTCCACTTCCTTTATTATCCACTTATTTTTATCAGTTCACTTTTTTTTTCAGGCAAGTCTTTGTAAAGATTTTCATTGGCAATTTACTATATCTTTCATATGGAGTGCCAAAAGATGGATAAGAATTAAAAGAAACATAAATCAATCATCACTAGCTATATTCTAAACCACAATTCAACTACCTACTGGTTAACACCATCTGATTTGAACTTGTGTTATACTAACAATTAAATAATATGAGAATGACTATTCAGCTGGTTTATACAATTAATAATTTTGTTCACTAATAATGCAACAAATATAGTTATTATAATTAATAATTTAGTCAGGTTAGATGGATTAAAATACCCTTCAGGCCAAAAGTTTGCTAATAACCTTTCTTGCCCCCTGAACTCCTACCCTTAGAAAATGAACAAAATACCATTTCCCCCTAAACTTCTTCACTCTACAGGAGACTTTTGTCCTAAATATCTAAAATAGTATCTTTAATCTTTAATATCATTTAGTTTGCACACACAAAGTATCGTTTATGCCACATCTCTGAGGGTAATAATTTGATTGCATTACTTTTGTTCTCCAAGTATGGTTTCCTAAATGTACTATCTGTACAAACTATAGAGATACCATCCCTGCTCTTTGAAGTGTTTACAATCTAGGTACATCCTAGACCTGCCTAAAAATAGCTGGCGCAAGCCCTTGTTGAAATAGAAGTACCCATGAGGTTAACACTTGCTCTTTGTACTGAGTGCCTGTCATGTGAGGAACTTTTGGTTGACCCCAGTAGGTTCTGTGCCCAATGCAGTGCTCATAAAAGGCCAAGCAGATGTTGAAACTACTTCATGCTTTCCCAGGGTTAGATGAAGACCTCTGTAGCCTGAAATCTGAAAAATTATGGTATCCTACTTCTATGTATAATTCAAAGCAAGAACAATACTAAACCATAACTTTTTTTTTCTGTTTTGATGACCTTGCTTGCTGGTACTCTAAGCGAAGCAAGCACACACATACACATATGCAAACACAGAAATTGGAGAGAGGGAAATGTAATATTTAATATTTTGTCAGAAGTATCAATATAATCATTATAGGAAAAAAGTCAGGTCTTTTTGATATCAGGCAGATGTATTAGTCAGAATTCTTCAGAGAAACAGAACCAATAGGGTGTGTATGTGTATGGTCTGTCTGTCTGTATCTCTTTTTGCCTCTCTATGCATATATAGATACACATATACATATATAGTTGGCTCACAAATTGTGGGGACTGATAAGTCTGAAATCTGTAGGGCCGCTGGCAGGCTGGAAATCCAGATGTTGCTATCCTGGGTTCTCAATCTTCAGGGCAGGCCAGCAGCATGGAAACTCAAGTAGAATTTCTATGTTGCAGTCTTGAGGTAGAAAACTGCTGCTTCTTTGAGACATCTCAGTCTTTGCTTTTAAGACCTTATATATATATATATATAATGTATGTATGTATGTGTATGCAATTGGCTCATGCAATGATGGAGGCTGGCAAGTCCAAAATTTGCAGGGCAGACCAGCAGGCTGGAGACCCAGAGAAGAAATGCAATTCTAGTCCAAAGATATTCTGGAGGCTAGAAATCTGAGATAAAGGTGTTGGTAGGGTTGATTTCTTCTGAGGCTTCTCTCCTTGACTTGCAGATGACCATCTTCTCTCTGTCTTCACATGGTCTTCCCTCCGTACATGTCTGTGTTCTAATCTCCTTTTCTTATAAGGACACCAGTTATATAGGATTAGGATCTGTCTGAATGCCCTCACTTTAAATTAATTATCTCTGAAAAATCCTATCTCCAGATACAGTCATATTCTGAGATACTGGGGGTTAGAATTTCAACGCATGAATTTGGCAAGGGGCAACACAATTTAGCCCATAACACTATCCTCTTCCACAAGGCTTCTATTTCCTTTGAGGAGGGAAGGCTCATTAATCTCCCCATGTTTTCTTTGTTATTTTCTGTTAGGAGGTGAGGACAAGCAGGAGGTCTCCGGTGTAAACTCAGAAGTCTGCCCTCGGTTCTCACCGAGCCACTCTGAGCATGGAGCTATCCACCCGGGAGCTGTGTCTCAACTTCACCATTGTCCTGATTACGGTTCTCCTTATGTGGCTCCTTGTGAGGTCATATCAGTACTGAGACGGCATGCCATACTCCTGGGATTGATTGCAACGCTCCAGAGCTGCCTGTTGTATGCCCTGAGATCCCACTGCTGTCATGGGATGCCTCTCTTGGCACCCCGAGGCACTCATAACCTGCAGTCACAATATCTGAGGTGCCTCCATTGTTAGGATTGATTGTATGTTCTCTAAAGATGCTGCTCTCAAGAGCTGCCAAGTGTTTGCCAGTGAGCATTAGATTTATTCCCCAACTCTTATGGCAAATGTGTTAGACAAGCCACAAGGTTAAAATAAAACTGGATTCGTGATAATGTAGAACTATAACAAGCCCCTGATCTGTCTCATCACACGACCCTTCAACTTGCACTGTCTGCAACCAAAACTCTAAATCATCCTGCCAGAAGAAAGAAATGTTAGAGGAAGTCTTTGTCAGTCCTCACAGCTATCATGTGAATAAAGTTAAGTCAACCACAAAAATGACTTTTAGAGCTTATTTTAGTTTCTATTTGTGGTACTGCATTTGACCCTTGGCTGGGATTGAAGTGATAAATGTTGGAGTATTTCTAGCATTTGAGCTAAGCCAAGATACTCCATCTGCTGAGGATTTGAAACTAAGTCAATTAAGAGTGTCACATTTCAAATAATTTCATTGGTTCACTACTCCTCAAACTTTCCTTCTAAACTAGTCCCAAGGGCAGACGGAATATGAATCCATTCCACTAGGAGGTCTGGGCATAGCTTGACGTGTCTGCTAAAAGCACAAAATTCCTTTGAAGTCTTGCATTTTATCTTTAAAATTCATATTCTATCCTATAGTTAGATTTCTTTCTGTCACCGCATATTTGACCCCTTTTACCTTATCTACCACTCCCTCCTCCTCCCCTACCTCCTTGTTTCTTTTAATATAGATATTTAAAATTATTTATAACTGAGTAAAAGTAGAACATGAGTCATGATCTGTGTTTGGTTATTCCAGTTTGGTTATAGATAAAAATCTCAGGGAGTAGAGCCCAAGCATCTGCATTATTCAAAAGTCCTCTAGATGATTATACTGCGTAGCCAGAGTTGAGAAATCTACCAGTACTTCTCAAACTTTGATGCGATTATGAAAAACTAAGAGGTCTCCTTTAAATGCAGATTCTGATTCTGTCTGGACAGGAGCCTGAGAGCCTGCATTTTAAATAAACCCTTAAATGATGCCAGTGCTATGATCCATGGTCTACACATGAATTAGCACATCAGAATTACCTGGAACCTTTAGAAACCCGAACTTGACTCCTATTACCAGAAGTTTGTAATTTAATTGGTCTGGGGGTGAATCTGAGCATTATTCTTTTTTAGAAGGACTCCAGATGATTCTAATGTGTAGCCAGGATTAAGAACCCTGATACAGTTAAAAGAAAAGTGTTATTATTTCGAGAGGTTCCAAGCCAAAATTGGGCAAGAGCAGTGTATTCCTCAATGTCCTGTTTCTAATTTCAGGGTCAGACTACACATATGGATGCAGCACACCTTTGCATACGTATGTGGCTCTAGGGCATTTGGTGGATGGTTACTAGTCTTTCCCTTACTCAAAACAAAACAAAGCAAAACAAAAGCAAAACAAGACAAATAAACAAAAAACCCTCAGAGAATTTACTGGTGTCTGTGTATGTGTTTGAGAAGGTGTGTGTATGGTGTTGGGGAGAGGAATGAACAAAACAAGTGACAACATTCCTTTCACCTCAGTCTGAGTTCTGGTGCAAACATTTACAACAGGACCACTTAGTGAGTACACTGTATGTGAAGCCCTGTCCTAGGCACTTTCCATACATTATGCCATTTAGCAGATGTGAGAACGGAGGATCATAGTCCTCACTAACCAGATATAAATGGTGAAGCTAGGATGACAAAAGCATCAACTTAATCTCTGTGGGGACTGTGTACATACTGTGCTTCATTATAGATCTCCAAATAAGTTTTACTCTCACATTCTTTAGCATTCTAAAGTAAACTAATTAGATAAAGGTAATAGTTGCTAGTTCTCTGGAACTGGAACACTGAATCCTAGTTGTTAACTAAAGTTCCAGCTCATGGGCTTGATCCTTCTTTCTCTAGCTTCTTTCTCTTTAGTTCGTTCATTAATTCATTCATTTATTCATTCATTTGACAAGTACTTATTGTAAAATTACTATGTGTTGGGCATTGTACTGGACACGGGATAAATGGTGAATGAGACAGACAAGCTCCATTTTTGTGGAGCATATGGTTTATTGGGGGAGACAGATACATAAACAGGTGATTATAATGGCATGATAAGTTCTTTGACAAGAGAATGAAAAGGCATTATTGATGGAGATTTCCAGCAGAGAGAACAGCATGAGTAAAGATTCCAAGGTCAGAGAGCATGACAAAGTCAAGAGACTGAAGGTATTTGCATACTGAAACATAGAGTCCCTCTCTAGCCACTGGCTGAAATTATGCCACATAAGGTCAGATCACAAGATTCTGACTGCATCTGTTTGATTTCCAGGTTGGACCACTTCTGGGATCTTTCACCATCATGCCTCACTCACTGGAAGGGACCTCCTGCCACCTACAATTGTCCAAACCATGTCTGAGCTTGCACAGAGTTTAGATACTGGGCCTTGGAACACCTGGCCGCCTTTGTTTATAGCAGCCAGGTCAGTTCTCCCTACTTACCATCTCACCCTGAGCAGCTCTCTGTTTGGTGATGGTCTCTTTTTGCCATAAGTCCTAGGCTGCCAAGATCTCAGCACATCATAAAGTTGAACTGCTCATATTATAATACCAACAAACATTTGAATTTAAAAAAGAGGTTATCTTGTAGTGCTGGCTTAGGCTTTTCTTCCAGTCTGTCCTAAACTCACTACCAAATTGGACATCCTTTGGAACATCTCATTTTTATCCAACTGTTTTCTTACACTGAGAAAATACACAAGCTTTGATAAAATTCTGGCATTCCCAATACAGTATTTGGCCACCAACTCCTCTCTCTAGACAGCCATACAGTTGTTTTTATAGGTATAAGAAATTGTCTGGATAAATCATGCCCAAGCCAGGGCTCTAAGAGCCCCAAGGTCCTCTAACCTGATTAGCTTCCATAACTACAATTCTCTCTTTGCTCCACTGACCCAGAAAGGGTGTGTGGAAATTGTCATAAAATGGTAGTGCTTCCATTGTTCTCTTTTAATTTGGGACTATTGATTTAGAAAACATCGTAAAGGGTTAGCTCCCTTTTACTTCTATTATTTTCTTATTGTTTAGCTATCCCTTTTACTCCTATGAGACACAATTCTTTCTGTCAATCCCGCCTACCTCTACATCCATTCTGGTGCATGATCCATGCCATTCTTATATGGGATCCCAGAACCTTCCTCAGTAGTCAGGCATGTCTGTTACCATCTTAAAATCCCACTACCCAGAATCCTGTCTTCAATGCATAGGATACCCAGAAAGTAGTGAGGCACAAAATAGACTAAATTGGTTCTGTTTCCTTTTTCTCTAATTTATCTATCATTCACTTAGATATATTTTATCATTTTCCGGCTTTCAGAATGTCTTTTAAAATAATTTTGGCGCAGAAGATCCTTCTTAGCTGATGCATCTCTACCTGTAGTCTCTCTTCTGTTTACTTGTCCCGCATACCCCACCCTAACCTCTCCTTTGCAACTATTTTCTACTATTTGTAGTTTTCAAGTATGCCATGCTTTATTATACTGCTGTGACCTTGCACATTTATTCCCTTTGCCCGAACTTTCCACTCTCTTTTCCTGGTTAATTTAGTTTTTAAGATTGCCATTAGGTGTTATTACCTCTTCAAAGTTATCCCTAGATAATTCTCTTCTCTGAGCCTCATGCTAATATGTTCATTGCATTTATCACATTGTATAGTTTGTGTGCTTCTCCCCTGTTTGTTTCTTGTCTATGGGGACTCTCTTTAATGCTGAATTTTAGTTCCTAGCTCATCCATCATCATCATTGGGTAACTGTCTCCTGAACACATTAATAAATGCTTGACTTGATATGAAAATTTTTGTAATAGACATATACTCATTTCTATGAATTGGATGCATGACCTGTACTTACCACAGGTAATAAAGAGGGGCATGAAATCTGTAGTTCTAAAAGTTTTATTGCAGTAATGAGCAAACCAAACTTTTAAAAAACTTTAGGCAGTTGAAACAGCTTTTCCAAAAGCACTTTGTTTTCTTTTTTTAAATAAAATATTCATGGTGCTTGCTTCTTTTGATCTATCTCTATCACCATCCTGAAGAGTTTGATAATATTTATGAATGACTTATCAAAGTCCAATGTGTTGAGCATATTTTTGAGTTTATCTAAAAACAGGGTGATATTGGAGAACTTCCATGTTTCAAACTGCATAAAGTTAAGGTTAAACTTCACTTATAAACAGAATATTTAAATGAAACTTATTGCACACCTACTCTGCATTAGGAACTTATTTTATTTAATTCTCTTTTATTTTTTGAAGTATTTATTTTTTTTCATACCTTAAAAGTGAGAAGACCAAGGCTCAGAGAAAACAGATGATCAGCCCCAAAACACAGAACTAATGAGAGGCAGAGCAGAGAGGCAAATTCACTTCTTTCTAACTCAGATCCGGAAGAGCTCTTTCCAATCACCATGGCTGCCTCTCTGTGCTATTATTTAAGCGATTCTAGGACAGAAGACACATTACCTTATGCAAGACAGAAAGTACCAAAGATATGGCAAATACCTTAATTGCTTTACAGCTAAATCATATGGGGTGTGCAACTTACACAGTTCTTTTTCCCAGGAGTTTAAAACAAAGCCCTGGAATCACCTTTTCTTTGTTAGTCAACTGAGCAGTGATAAGAAAGGACAAGAATATTGATGACTGATTAAGCTGTTTTCAATGTGTTGGTATTATCTGTGGGGATTAAGTGGGAATGACAGCTCCATTTACAGCATTGGCTAGTTATACACACTTGCAGGAATTTGTCACATGGAGATGTTTTCCTCTCTCACTCATTAGATCATTTTAAAAATAAAGCATTAGAAAACACAGTCTTTGAATTCACAGATTGTATTTTGCTTAGTGATATGTGACCTCAGACAAGTTCTTGAACTTTTGTTACAAAAATTTTCTTTGTTATAAAAAGAGAGAATAATAATTTCTTTGTAAGAAGATTAAATTAGATATTATTAAAATATCCTGTGTTTAATTAAATAACAGTGCCTGGCAATTAGTAAATACTCAGTAAATGGTAGTTAATATTATTATAACATAAAGTGTTTACAATGCCTGGAACATAGTAAGCTCTAAAAAAGTGTTAAGGATTGTTGGTGGGTAATACTGCTCATGATATAAAGAGGAATTTTCCACTCAAATGGCTAACCTTAGCTCTTTGGTCTGCTTCTGTAAATACGTGTGCCGCATAGACTGAAGGGCAGGGTGACCTCAAAATTAACTAAATGCTC